CGCCCCATATACCAAGGGTGGTGGGTTCAAACCCGACCCCAGTCAAACTGCAACAAAAATTATCAGGGTGTTGTGGTGAGCACCTGTGGTCCCAGCTACTCGGGAGGCTGAGGCAGAAGAATCACCTAAGCCCAGGAGTTGGAGGTTGCAGTGAGCTGTGTGGCACCACGGCACTCTACCGAGGGTGATAAAGTGAGACTCTATCTCTACCAAAAAAAAAGACTTTTCCCCTAATTTGACTTTTAAGCTGGAAGTCAAAGGAGCTAACCATGTAAAAAAACAGGAAAAAAATCCCAGAGATAGAGAACCTCAAATCCAAGGACTCTAAAGAAGGAATGGCTTTGATCTCCTCCACAAAGAACCACCATGACACAAGTGGTGTGGCTGGAGTGACTGAGTGGGGGAGACAGAAGGCAATGCTGTTGGAGGAGCAGCCAGAAGCCAAATCAGGAAGGGTTTTATGAACCTGACCAAGGGAAAGAGTGCAAATTTCCTTTTAAGAAAATACGACAATACTGAAGGATCAGAAGCAGGCCGTTCCTTCAGTTTGCCCTGGCCACACAATGCACAATGGCCGAAGGGGTCAAAGTGGATGCAGCAAGTCCAGAAAAGAAGACTTTCGTAGTAGTCCCAGCAAGAGATGATGGCTCTGGGGTTAGGATGGTAGAACCCACAAGACAGGCTGATGGCTTGGATCTGAGTGAGCAGAGGAGAGGGAAATTCACATCTAATGGGTTCTTAGTTTGAGCAACCAGGTGACTAGTGGTGGCATTTATAAGCTGTGGAGAGCTGGAAAATATTTTGTTCTTACAATTTCTATCTTGGATATGTCAAGTTTCAGACGCCTTTAGACATCCAAGGGGAGATGCCCAGTAGGAGGTGAGAGATGGCCTATGACGAGCTCAGGAAGCAGGCCACCCAGCTCTGAATCCAGAGTCTTCCATACATACAGCCTGTACGACCTCAGGCAAGTTACTTAACCTCTCTATGCATCAAATGGAGATGATAAATTACTATTAGAGCAGTAGGATTTGGGGACAAATAGTGGCCATGGAATAGACTAGCTCTCAACAAACGTTAGCTATTTTTTTTTTTTTAATCAGAGTCTCAAGCTATCACCCTGTGTAGAGTACTGTGGCATCAAAGCTCACAGCAACCTCCAACTCTTGGGCTCAAGTGATCCTCTTGCCTCAGTTTTTCTATTTTTAGTGGAGATGGGGCTCTTGCTTTTGCTCAGGCTGGTCTCGAACTATCCACCCGCTTTGGCCTCCCAGAGTGCTAGTATTACAGGTGTGAACCACCGGGCCCAGCCCAAACATTAGCTAGTAATAGAACAAGGGCTGTCTGGAAAGTATTCAGCCAGGGTTAGTACCCCAAATGTCTCTATTTTTCGTATTATGTGACTGGATACTTCCACATAGCCCTGTTTGAGTCTGGGGCTCACGGAAGGAGCAGGGTGTGGAAGTAACATCTTGGAGTCAGCTATACAGATGGCATTTGCCTTTCTCTGCTGTAGAGACTGACCACCTGGCCTAGAGTCCTCAGGATCTCTTGCAGTTACAAGTGACATAAGACACAGATTGGGCTAACCAGATGGTTTCTGAGAAAGGGATAATGGCAGGTGGTGCTCCCTTCCTCCCCACCCTGAATGCAGATGTCCCAGCTGGAAACCCAGCAGCTGACCCGCAGCAGCGAGATTAGGGCCACCAGCATCTCAGACGTGCGCTTCTGCCTTAGGGGGTAGTGAATAACCAGCAACCACTCACCTGGAGACTGCTTGGTAAGAAATACAAACCCCTGTTTATCAAGACCCTTAGAGGTGTGTGTTTTTGTTTTTTGTTTTTTGTTTTTTGAGACAGAGTCTCACTATGTCGCCCTGGGTAGAGTGCTTTGACATCATAGCTCACAGCAACCTTTAACTCTTGGGCTCAAGCGATTCTCTTGCCTCGGTCTCCCAAGTAGCTGGGACTACAGGTGCCTGCCACAACCCCGGCTATTTTTAGAGACCGGGTCTCTCACACTGGCTCAGGCTGGTCTCGAACCTGTGAACTCAGGCAATCCACCTGCCTCGGCCTCCCAGAGTGCTGGGTTTACAGGCGTGAGCCACCGCGCGTGACAGATGACAGTGTTCTTAATGCCATGAGTTTGCAGGCCATCCCTTGGTTATTCACACGTAGGCAGAGAAAAATGTGTGGCCCAGACAGCCTGGGATAGGCTCATGTTTTGCGTCAGAATAGGAGAGGTGGAAGCTCCAGGGGAGAGGACCAGCTGCCCAGGACAGCGGCCAGGGCCGGAGGGAAGGAAGCCGGGCCGCGGCCCCGCCCCCACCCCAATTATAGTGTGGGCCAGGCCGCACCTCCCGCCCGCCTGCAGGTGTTGGTCGCCAGACCCTGACCATGCCCGCCGACCTCAGCGGCACCTGGAACCTGCTGCACAGCGACAACTTCGAGGGCTACATGCTGGCCCTAGGTAGGGCGGGAGGGGCCTGCGCGGGGGGTTCTGTCCGTCCCTGTGCTTCTGTCCTCCCGCACTCCCCCCGTCGGTCCTCAGCCTCTTCGTGCATCTGTCTGTCGGCACACCTATCCCCAGGTCCCCGCTTCCTCCGTCTCTCAGCCCATCTGTCCCCCTCCAGGGGCCTTCAGTGACCTAGTCCCCGGTGTCCTTCCATCCTCCTGCCTGTCGCCACCGCCCTGTGGCCAAGGCACAGGTCCCGCCGCGGAATCCTAAGGAGGCGGAGTGGCAGGTGGCACCCACCACCTCGCGGGACTCTGGGGACTGAAAACCCCTGCTGGGACCTTGCCCACCTCTGCTTGCACCCGCGGCGAGGTCCCTGACCGGAGCCGGCCGAGGACGCAGGTGCCCGACTCTGCCGCTGGCTGCGCACGTTTGCCGAGTCCCCCGCGAGGGCGCAGGGCTGAACAGCCGCTCTGCCTCCCCGCCAGCCTCGGAAAAGGGTCCCCCGCCTGAGAACAGCCTCCTCGCCTTGCGCGCGGGCTCCCAGTTTGTCCTGCCCTCGGTCTCACTCCTCAGATCCGACGGATTTGAGCACCTACCGTGTGCCAAACGCTTTGCCTGCCTGGCGCGGGCGGCGGCGCTTCGGATCCTGGGCCTCAGCCTCCCGAGTAGCTGGGACTTCTGCGGGGCGGCCAGAGCTGCTGGGGCACTAAGTGACACGGGGCCTCAGTTTGCCCATCTGTATGTAGATTGAGGAGGAGCGTCTGCCACGGATTTTTTTCCCTTTTGTTAAAAATTGTAGTAAAGGCTCGGCGCCTATAGCTCAACCGGCTAAGGCGCCAGCCACGTACACCTAAGGTGGCGGGTTCGAATCCCCAGCCCGGACCCGCCAAACAAC